TTGCATCTGAACCCCGGTTTCTCAACCTTACTTACTCCCTAGGAAGCACTTGGAGCCATTCTTCCTTAGCCACCTCCCATCCGCTGTGAAGTGTTCACAGCCCAGATACACCGGGCGGCTGGTTATGCGCTCCGCGCTTTGGTGGGCCACAAATCATGACGTGATCTAAGATCGTTCTGTTCCCCCTCTTCCCAGAAGTCAAGGCGCACCCTGCCGAGAATGCGGGATCTAATGAAATGCGCCTGGCTGCAGCTCAGCCCTCGGCTGTGTGAGGGCACGGCTTCTCGCCGTCTGGTTTTCTGTACCACTTCGCTCCGGTGTCAGAAAGGAGGTCCATGGGACCAGCAGTTAGCGTAATGGCTATGTCGCTGGACTCCCACGTAAGTCGACCGCGGTTTGAGTCCTGGACCCAGTGACTTAAACTCATGCTGGGCGCGTGTGCGTGCGTGCCCGAGATCCCAAGAGGAGAATGGAGGAGAAGGGATTGCAGCATGGCCATGGCCATCCCCCCCTGAGGGGTGATCTCTCGCTGTCTCTCTGTCTCTCTCTGTCTGGCGAGCGCATGTGCCCTATAGCATAAACCTCTCCAAAAAAAACCCCCAAAAAAATTAAAAAAGAAAAAAGGAGGTCCACTCAAGCTGGTCCAGGTGGCCCCTGTTGCCCAGTTACCCTGTAGTCTTTGTGTTCTGGGGAGGTTCCAGGGGAGCTCAGAAAAGGACTGGGTCATCAGAGGTCTCGGGCAGTAGCGCCTTGCCAGCAGGTGTGGAAGTATTTCAGTATTTTCACGAGGGCGGTTCTACTAGCGTGTATGCGTGAAATGTCAGCCCTGACTTCAAAGGTATGGAAACTGTTTCTTGACTTTGGGCTTAGTTTTCGAAGAAGGCCCGAGGTACAATTTATATGCAATAAAGTTTGAAATGTATAATTCCATGAGACTTGACAAACGGATGCCTTGGGGTAGCCAGCGTAGAAACACGATAGAGAACAGTCTCGCGTCCCTTTGTCGTCATTCTCCTTTTCCTTCACCCTGGCCTCTGGCGACCAGTGACCCCATTTCTGACTGTGCCGTTGTGTTGTCACTGCTTCCTCTGTCTTTATGGCTGAGTAGTAGTCCATTTCATAGACGTACCACAACTGGTTTATCCTTTCAACGGTTGATGGACATTGGCTTCTCGTTTCTAGTTTTTATGAATAAAGCCGTAGGGAACATCTGAGTTCGTGTTTTAATGTGGACACAAAATAAAAAATAGACATTCATGGGACCCGAGATGGCGTGATGGTTACATTGCTGGACTCCCACATACTCAACTGCGGTTTAAGGCCCCAGACCTGGCGGTTTAAAACTCATGCCAGGCGCGTGTGCGTGCGTGCCCAAGATACCAAGAGGAGACTGGAGGAGAAGGGATTGCAGCGTGGTCATTCCCTCCTGGGGGGGTTATTTCTTACTTTCTGTCTCTTTGTGTCTCTCTGGTGAGAGCATGCATCCTGTAGCAAAAACTCTCCCTTAAAAAAAAATTTCTTGGGTAAATACCTGAATGTGGAAATGCTGGCTAACTTGTTAACTTCCTGTGGGACTTCCAATCTGCTTCTCAAAGCGGCTGGCCATCCTGCATTCTCATCAGTGGTACGTGAGACTCCCAGTTACCCCAGGTCCTCCCGACAGCTGGCATTGTCCATCTTCTTCATTTTCTCATGGGTGTATGGTGGCATCGTCTTATTGCCTTTTATTCTCATTTTCCTAATGACTAACTATGTGTTTTTCATGTGCCTATTAACTATTAGCACATGCTCCTTGATAGAATGGATGTTTGCTCTGGGTCCATTTTCAACGTGCACGGCTGTTTGGAGGTGACAGGTTGGCCCCACCCTGCTACTGCATGACCGTGTGAATTTCTTCAGGATGCTGAGAAGACCATGAGCTGATACCTACTGGGTGTCGTTCCTGGGCAGGGGCAGGGACGGGCCATGATATTCTCGACAGGAGCTTGCTGGTTATCAGAGAAGAGGTGTTACCTGGTCAGGGGCCAGGACCTCGGCAAGCAGGCTCTTGTCGTGGGAGCGTGGGAGCCTCAGCGGGAAGCCCTAATTGAGATGACCCAGGATTGAGGGCTGTGTGTTCATTTCCCACGAGTCACCTCCATTCCAGCCTGTCTCTACCACCCGAGTACGGAGGAAGGGCTTGCTGCTTCTACCGGGTATTGCCGAGCCAGCTGTGACTTGACGGTGGTGGCAGTGAAAGCAGTTAGAAATCGCCGAGGGTTTCTTCTCCAGCGTGTCTTATTACAGTATCATTCGGTCTTGGTGACCCCTTGAAGGGTGGTCTGAACTGTGTAGTTGACTCGGGCCCAGCTTGGGACCACGAGGGCTGGGCCTGTTTATTCGGGTGTCGGCTTCCCAGGGTACCTACCTTTCCTCCTGGCCATTCTGACTCCCAGGGGGCGTCCAGCCTCTCCGATTTGTGCTGTGTTCAGGCCACGGAGGGTGCCTTCGGCTCACCTCTGAGCAGAGGCGAGAGACGCGGGATTCCACAGACTTCACAGCCCTGGAGTGATGGAGGGGCCTCAGGCATGCTTACTGTTATTTGCATGACGATGATCACTGATCACATGATCACGGGGGAGGTGACACATAACGAGGACGTGGAGGCTGCCATGGCGTCATGCGGGGCTGGTGTGCTTGGCTGGGCTCCGCATCACGTTTTCCAAGCACCGCCTGGGTTCACAGGCAGGGCCGCAGCTGAGGCTACCTCACTTCTGCTCTGGAAGGACAGGGGCCCCTGCTGTCTGAGAGCTCTTGAGGGTGTTCCAGAGCCCGGTCCAGGGCCTGGTGCAGAGCTGGCATTTAGTAAATGATGGATGGGTCTACTGGGTCCTTCTCATACTGCTCAGGGTCACTCAGGGGTTGTGCCACCATGGCAATTAAATCAGGGACTTGAATCAGACAAGTTGGTGACATGGAGACCCTGGAATCTAGCTGGGGAGACAGGGCTGACATAGGCGGGCTGCATTGGAGAGACCTGAAGGGTTCAGATGAGGAACCTGCCACTGAAACCACTGACTCAGCTGGGTCTTGAACATGTGGAGAAGAGAGTGGTGGGGGTGCATATTACAGGAGGAAAATAGCAGCAGCAGAGGGATGGAGATGGGAAAGGTGCTCAGTGCTGTAGGAGGTCAGAAGACAGAGAGATTAGAGTGGACTAGGGAAATCAGAATGGCTTCCTGGAGGAGGAGGTAGCTCTTGCAGTAAGTAGCGTGTTTGTGCTGATGGAAGTGGCAGGGTGTAGGAATTCCCTCCTGACGGGCTTCCATGCCATCGGCCCGAGTCCCCTGGTGTGGAGAGAAACCTGCTTCCCTGCCTCGTGCCTCTCCGTCTTGACTTCCTGGCTCCAGAAAGTTCAGGAGGCGTTCCTGTGGAGAAAGGCTCAGCAGCCTGGTCGCATCGAGTCCCCCAGTCCAACAGGCTTTGCATGAAGGACAGAGAGCTTTGCACAGACTGTCATTTCCGCCTGGCGCTCGGGGCATGATCAGTAAGCCAGGGTGTGTGTTTCAGGTGGTAGCTTCTCGGAGATGCAGCCGCTCTGGCCCCCTCACAATCTCCAAATTCAGAACTGCCTTGACCCAGAGCCCTGGGTTCTAAACCTCTGCTCCAGAGAGGCAGGATCTTCAATAATTTCACAAACCTATTTTTAAGCATTTTTGAAAAAAAGAACTCTTCCAGGGCTGGGTAGTGGCACAGCGGTAAAATGCAGTGCTCTGCAGGCCGGTCTGCACTGGGCTCTGGGCTCATGTCTGGGAAGCTCCCAGAACATGCCAGTCACGTGCGTGCCCACGACCTGGGTGGGTCATGGCAACGCGATCTCGTCAGGGTGTTGTTTCTCTGGATCTGCCTCCCTCTCTCGTGGGAAAGATAAACTTACACAGATAAACCATTCTAGATTAAAGAAGACTAAAGAAACAGGGTAAATAAATTAGCATGTGCCATTTTACGAGATTCTATACTAGAAAAAGGGTCTGCGTTGCGTATACAGAAAATATCCTGGTTTGCAGGAAAGGAATCGTGAGAAATGAAGCAGTGAAAGTTCATGAGGTATGCATCCTGCCCTCAGAAGAACTGGAGAGGAAAACAAAAATAAATACGTGTGTGTATTTAACGTGGGGTCTTCAAAAAGTTCACAGAAAATGTATATTCACAGGAAAAAAGCGTAGATTAAAAAAAAATTTGCACCCATAATAAACTTGTACTTGAATCCCATTTTCCATGAGTATTTTGAAGCCCTCTTATAATTAATACATAGAATACAAAAAATGTCTATACTATAATATTATATCCTATTATGCTATAAAATATCTGTGGGGGGAGAAGAGATACCATAAAAAGTCAAACGTGGGACCAGCAGATGCCATAATGGTTATGTCGCTGGACTCCCCACGTAGTCCACTGTGGTTTGAGTCCCGGACCTAGAGGCTTAAAACTCAGGCCGGGCGCATGTGTGTGCGTGCCCATGATCCCAAGAGGAGAGGGGAGGAGAGGGGATTGTGGTGTGGCCATTCTCCCTGGGGGGTGATTTCTCGCTGTCTCTCTGTCTCTGTCTCTCTGAGGAGCGCACATGCTCTATAGCAAAAATCTAAAAAATGGAAGGCGAATGTGGCAAAATGTTGGAAATGGGTGAACCAGGGTGACAGGTATCTCGGGGTGGTCTGTTCTAGTCGTGCGGCTTCTCTATTGATTGCTCTTCTGTTAAAATAAGAAGTTTGAGAGGAAAGCATGTCTTGTTGGGAAATGTGATGGCTGTCACGAGTTGTCCTCCCAGGAGGCTGAGCCAATCTGTATTCCCACAATGCCGTGGGAGGGCTGCTGCAGCTGTTTGATGTAGCTATTTTTATTCAGCTACTTTGATATGAGGGCCTTTTGTTGATGGGGTCATATATCAGTGTTGACCTGGGGACGTTTCGTTTTCTTCCAGTTTAATATAAATATTTCCCAAAGTGCATCAGCCCGTGCAGCACGCCGCGCCCACCGCCCGGCTCAGCCATTGCTACCGTGCTCTGTTTATTAGTACGTATTTTGGGGGCATGTGGAAATTGAGATGCAGAAAGATGAAGTAACTGTCAAATGTTACTGATGGAGCCAGACACCCTGTCCTCTGCACCTCGTCCTCTGCTCTTGCCTCCAGAATGTACCGGAATTGCTTCCTGAGCAGATCGAACTGGAAGTTTTCTTCTGAAGCAGCTTAGCAGTTCGGTCAGATGGATCTGGACTTGGCCGCCACCTCGGACCTGGCCAGACTCCTTAAACTCTCGGTTCCTGCCTCGGTGTATTCACCTGGTAAAGTGGGTGGTGGTACCTCCCTCGTAAGACGGTCGTGAAGGTCCATGGCGATGGCACACGGTACTTGAAGCTGGTGGTAGCATTATCATCGTCATCTCTCCGTCTTCTCTTTTCATCTAAAACAGACACTCAGGGCACCTCCTCTAGGAAGACCCCCAGCACCCGTGTGCTCCGTGTACTGCTGCCGTGCAGCTCCCCCGCCCACAGCCACAGCCTTGGAGCCCAGTGCTCAGAGATCTCTGCGAGATCTCTGCGAAGCTGATGTTCAGGCACATGAGCCGGGGTGGTGTTCGGTAACCCGATGTGAACTGTACGTCCTGGAGTCCCACCAGGCCTCAGGCCGCAGGCCCTCCAGGGCCCACAGCGAACAGGTCGGATGAGTCTCCAGCAGTCGTGGCATAGCGAGGCAGGGGCTTGTGGCCCGATGCTCCTGTCCCCATGTCTCCAGGATTCCAGTTCGTAGGGGAAAGGCAGTGCAGGGCTGGGACTAGGGTCAGGCGAGTGGGACACTCACCCAGAGCAATGTTAGGGGACACCAAACACTCAGTGATCAAAGTAAACAGTATTTCAACGCAGTGTTAAAAGAATCAAATCCGTGAACTATGGCCTGCAGGCTGGGTGCTTACTTTTTTTGAAAGCCTCGGGAATCTCCGTGGCCTCAGGAACTGAGGGCCCCTGGGGAGTGTCCTTGTGGGCATTTGTTGTCCTCAATATGACAGTACCCATAGGCCTGCACCCTGGACTCGGCCCAGCTCTTCACTCCCTGTGCTCCCAGCACCAGATTCCCCGGCCCGGCCAGGGCTCAGGCACTATTGAGGGCTAGAGGTGGGCGGGGCTTGTCCCCTACTCTGGAGGAGGAGTGTGCAAGGGGCTCCATGGTCTTAGTACTGAAAGTAAAAATTCTCTCCAGAGACTGGTGCTGGGAGTCAGGAGCTGGCTCACAATTAGCTGGAGACTCTTAGGAAGGCATCTCATCTCTCTGAGGCTCATCTTCATGATTGGTCATAGGGATGACTGGGTCCCCTCTGGGCTCCTCAGTAAGAGCTCAGGAGGGCAGTGCCTTATACCCCGAGATGAGCTCTGGAAACGTAAGCTGCTCTTCTTCCAGTGGTGGGTGGGATAGATTCTGATGGGGGGTGACAGCTGCTGGCCCAAGCGTGGCTGAGTGGGATCATAGGTCAGGTCAGCTCCAGCACTCCACTCCACCCCAAGTGGTTCAGTGACAGGCTAGGGGCTGGGGTGGGGCAGGAGGACAGTCCGTCACCCCCAGCCTGGTTCACAGACACCTCCTGAGGTTCCTTACCTATACTCTTTCCACCTACCTACTCCTCGGACGGGTGGCTTTGCAGGTGTCCTCACACACACTGTGTTCCCGGCCCACCTTTGGGGTCTCCTTTGCCCTTCTCCATTGTCCATTCCTGAGAGCTACACGGAGGAAGGGCATGAAAGGGGAAGGCGTACCAGGCCCGAGGACATGCCTCAGGTGACCACCTCACACCTTCCTTCCCCTCCTTCTTCCCAGTGTCCTCTTAGGCCGGGAACTGGCTGCCTTCTTAAAGACAAGAATGGGGAAGGAAGAGAGGCTTAGGGGTAACTTTTCAGTTCCTGGGGGCCTGGCTTTCTAATCACAGGCAAAAGTTATCTAGATTGTTCCGGCAGAGAGAAGCAACCAGAATAATTAGGGTCCAGGGGATTCTTTAACAATAAGCTCTAGATGGTCCCTTTTCATTTATTTACGTTTGTCTGGAAGGCCTGCGGTGCATCTGTGTCCACCTTCCCAACACCCGCCAACTGCCTTGCCTTGCTGGGACTCTCTGTGCTTCCTCCTGCCTCAAAACGTTTCTACCTGCTGTTCCTGCTGCTGGAAAAAGGACCAAAAATTAGGTAACATTTTCAAAAGAGAAAGGATTTCTATGAGCCAGGTTCTCCAGGGAAATGGAATCACACACACACACACACACACACACACACGATTTACGATGACTGTCTCACATGATTCTGGAGGCTGGCTTATCCTGAGATCTTCAGGATGAGTGGGCACAAGAAGACCCAGGCAAGCGATGGTTTCGTTTCAGTCTGAACTGAAGGCCTGAAACCCAGGAGAGCCAACGGTGCGGTTCCCGTCCAAATGCTAACAGGTTCAGAACCCTGGAAGAGCCAAGGCTTCCGTGTAGGTCCCAAGGCAGGAGGAGGCTGGTGTCCCCACCCAAAGGCTTGTCAAGTACAAAGCGTTCTCTCTTGTTCGACTCAGGCCTTCCTCTATTGGAGGAGGCTCCCTCACCTTAGGGAGGGCAAACTGCTTTACCTAGCTGATGATTTACATGCTAATCTATACCTTCACAGAAACACCTGGAATAATGTTTGACCAAGTATCTGGGTATCCCAGTCACATTGACACATACAATGAACTATGAAAGAATTTTAAAGGTTAAGGAAAAAAATTATAATTAAGACTAGAAACCAGCAGATGGCGTAATGGATATGCTGCACAACTCCCACATGGCCAACTGAAGTTTGAGCCCCAGACCCGGAGGTTTGAAAGTCACGCTGGGCTCATGTGTGTGCTTGCCCAAAATCCTGAGAGGAGAATGGAGGATGAGATTTTAGGGTGGCCATCTCCCCCACTGGGAGTGATGTCTCACTTTCTGTCTCTGAATCTCTCTGTCTCTCTGGTGAACATAGGTGTCCTGTAACAAAAATCTCTCTAAAAAAAGAATACATAGAAATAAAAATGTTGCTAATTGCTTAAGAGAATTAGCCAATAAAATGAAAAGTGTTAAGATAAAGATAAAAGGAAAATTGTTGTAAAAAAAGAGTAATTCCGTATGGACAGGGTAGAATGTGAAATCCAAAAACCTAAATTACTTAAAGCCTAGATCGTATAAATCCAGAAGGGAAAACTGAGAAGCATCGCTGATGAAGGCACGAGCCCGACTCTGATGTCTGAGGAGGACCCCTCACCTCCTCTTCTCTGGGGATTCTAGGGTGTGAAAGGTTCTCCCGTGAACAGAATATGCTTGGGAATGGGGACACAGGGAGGTTGGGCCAGCAGGTCTTTGAGACCTGACCTTCTCAACCTCCCTCTTTTTCTTTTGTTTAAAATTCATCCATTTCTTCCAACAGTGAGAGACAGAAAGAGACTCAGACAGCATCCCCAGTAAGATCCGGAAGCTGCACTCCAGCCCCAGCCAAC